CATTCACGCAATATTTGTATTTCTATGTTCGCGAGGTCAATAATCTCAATGATGCTCCCTCGTCATATTTTTTCTCAAGTCTTCCTTGAACAGCAGTTGTTGTACGACGACTGGAAATCATGATGCATAATTAAATTGGTTGTTATTTATTCAAATATAGTTGATGGTTAAATTTAAAGTTAAAACACGATAATTTTTTCATTACTGTGTAAAGATCAAATAAGTTTGATCGTGAAATTTTCTTAAAATATTGAGAGCTATTCAAAATATCTCAAAGCATCGAAAACTCTTTTATGCTACCGAACAGACCCTTAGAACATACAAATTTGATGATATTTGACGTAAATATAAATACTATTCAGGTTAAAAATCAGCTTTTGTGCACCAATGTACGATTTATTTATTCAGCTTCGTATTTCATGAATTTCATGAAGCTTTTTGAAAAAAGTATGTGAGCTTGCAAAAATTCATATACCAGTTCAAATTTTACGTCACTTATGACAAACACCAAAGCTCATCGTCAAATGACAGCCGTCCTTCGAATGCTTCGAACCTTGTTCTCGATTGAAAGCAAATCCCACAAAAAATAACACGCAGATCAAAAGAAGAATTAATTTTGATTCATATCCGCTTCAACGGCAACTCGACGGAAAGGATTTGTGGAGGTGCCGTGATCTGCAAGGTTAAAGGGACCCTCCCACCTTAACATTAGTTTTGAGTTGAGATAGCCAAGTTTGCGGCCAGGCTCAGAAACCACCATTTATCCTGGTCGCAACCCCCGCAGCTTTATGGTGTTCAAGAAATTTCTTCCCTTTACTTGCAGGGTGGGACCAGCGTGGTCCCTATCTCTTAACCATTACGGGAGTCTGATGACGTCATCAGGCTTTCGAACGTCCGTTAAATGTTTGACTAAAACGTTTTGTAGCACGCGGTGGTATATGCTGCTTTGCGCGCAAAAAATGCCGCACTTTCAAATAAAGTCGCTAGGAACAGCGGAGATCCCAAAAAGTAAACAAAAGTAAAAGTCTAATATCTTGAAAACCGGTGAATATTTTTCGATGAAATTTGGTAGATATTCGTTTTTGCTCTTTCTGAACCGAACGACATCACTTTCATGCCAATTCATTAACTTTTTTGAAGGTGGGAGGGTCCCTTAGGGCAGGTAGGTATTTGTTATCTTTCGAGAGGCAAGGGCGGTGTTTCACGGGACGCTGCTACCACGCTGCTATCAAATTGCGCGAGCTGACGTCACACTTGTGGTAGTGTTGGAGCAATGGGCCTGTTGATGTTTCCATGGAAACCCAATTTGACACTTGTAAAAGCAGCGTGCTGCTATCACCGGTGAAACAGGGCCAAGGGCCTTTCTAACGGGTAAGGCAAAGGCAAAGCTATTGACACCGCACTGGTACGATTGCGCCGCGCGACGCGCAGTACTTACTGGCCAATTACTGGCGAGTGGCGGACCTATATAAACCTATATAAATGTAATAATTTATATAATAACCTATATAAATGTAGGACCAGGGCGGTGTTTCAAGGCAGAGCGCTGTAGTGTGCTGCGCGCGTTGGTGCGTTGGGTTTCCGTGGCAATATCAACAAATGGTAAAAGTATACATTGAGTCCGAGTAACTGTAAAAAGATAAAGTTTTCATATTCTTACATTATTTGACATCCTGAATCCAAAAATGATACTTATATGTCCTGGAAATAAAAGAAAAAACATAATCAAACCTGACCTAACCTTACCTATTTACCTACAACCTACCAACCTACAACCTACAAACCTACAACCTAACCTAACCTACAAACCTACCAACCTAAAACCTAAAACCTACAACCTAACCTACCCTAAAACCTAAATTTTTTGCTGTTGCATATTTGTATCAACTGCGTCACAATTGTCCACTCGGACCTAATATATACTAATTCCCAACAAACTTCACTCTGACGCTAAGCTATGATGTCAAACAAATGGTAGCGCACCATGCCGCCAGCGCCGTCACTCATCAGCACGTTAGTAGCATTTGCACTCAAACTTCTGCTCAATTCATACTAGGTTTTCATAGACCTCTGTTCCTAACAAGATTTATCATAAGTCAATGGATCGTATGCAACGTCATTCGAGCGACGTCAGGGGTATGCCTTAGCTCCCAGCGCGCTGCAGCGCACACAGCGTCGGGCAGTGAAACAGGGCCCAGGAGTCAGGACAGATCTGGACAAATCTTTCATCTTTGTATGGCTTTTTCAACCAGGATAAATGAACATTAGCTAACCTGTCCTGGGCCCTGTTCGCCCCTTGTTTGTTTATCAGCCAACATGACATCAGCCAGCGTCCCGAAATGATTTTTCAGAGTGTGACTGAACTGCCACAAAGACGTCACTATTTCAAAGAATGTCTATCGGCGCTGAACCTAAGCCACTGAAAACCCCTTAAACGCTAAACGGTACCACATGTAGCATATATTGTCCGTACAATTGAAACTCAAGAGGCAGTGACACTCACTGCTGTCTTCTGTTACCCTCCTATCTATAATCCTTATATTTTTTTGGTCACAACATCATCATTATTTTTTGTTTCAGGGCTTCAGAGGGGACATTTCTTTTTGTTCGTTTTTTGGTATTTGATATATCTGGTGGCTTTCATCTGTCAGGAATGTCGTTTGGCTTTCCAGGACGTCACAAAGGGAATCCATTTTAGTGTGTTGGTTTTCCACCCAAATTCACTAAAATCAGGACACTGATATCAGCGGTCGATTTACATCACGGTTACTTTATGTCATCACTCACTGTAAGCTATGTGCTATGTGAATGAGACATTTACAACACATGTGGTTGCCCGAGTGGTTTTATATTTCTATATTTACTTTGGTTGCCCGTAGTTCATTGTAAGGCCCGTGGACCTAGCCTAACCTAACCAAACCTTACCAAACCTAGGATAGGATGCCTGCCTCCCACCAAATAGTACAAATTCGTCAACGTCGTCATGTCTTATAACTTGGCTTATGTAATGTTATTTTACAACAGCTGACAACAGGCATTTGCAACAGCTCACAACAGGCCAGGAGACCTTGCGGCTCGACTGCATTAGCGTCGCCACGGGGGGGGGGCAAGCGAGGCAGCTTGCCCCCCCCCCCAACCTCGGACTGGGCACCCCCTGATATCGATACAGATCCGATGAGATTTTGGAGTCGGGAAAAAATGGGAGTACCTTTCTGAGAATGCCTGTGAGGTCAGACTCGGTGGCAGCAAGCAGTTCAAACCAGAGTCTGACTCGCAGTCGGCAAAATCTTCAAGACTCCGAGTCCAGACTCGGAAACGTCAATGCTGTGATTCATTTCATGTTCCTAGTTCGTTCTTTATTGCATTTTACAGCTGATTTTCATAAGTTTTGGAGTGGTGACTGGTGACACAATTTTCGTTCAAAGCGTGAAACGAAATCTTCGGGGCCTTTCTCAACTCTCGTCAAATGTCTGCGACAGGCGCAAGTACCGTACAAGTGTCGCAGGGCCCATGAGCTTGCTTTAAACAAAGGCTTCTAAGGAGTTCCACTGAGCCCTAAAGAAGCCTTCAGAGGGCCCAAACAGGCCTCTGAAAGTCCCACTGGTGTCCATGTTCTCTGAGGGCCCATACAGGGATATTTGAGCCTTCGAACATTTCTGAGAACCTTAACTGGCCTCTGATAGTTCAGCCAAACTTTTGAGGCGACAGACTTTGCTAACCCCAAGCCGGAATCTGATGGGTCACAGCTCACGTGTCCCTCTGAGGTCCGCAACACATGTTTATTATGTCCTTACGTAGGGTCCTTAGGGATTCGACACAGACCCCGAGGGTTCACACTGTTATCCGAGGGCTCCAGGGTCACCCTGGGCCTAGTCTCTTAGCGCCCGCCGCCCACACTGGCTTCTGAGGGCCCCACCTTGGGCTCGCCCTAAAGCACCACGTACACGTAAATATTTGAGGTGACCCACGCCGATCTCCGGGACCCTAAGCATGCTTCTGAGAGTCAGCACTGACCCTGAGTGGCCTGAAATGGCCTGGAAGTCCCAAACCTATCTCTAAGGGATCCCTTGCCGCTATGCCGTGCGTAACTTTTGGTTCCGTTTAGCAGTTTTTGTTCGCGTTTGCCGCGCTTCCCTTCACATGAAAAACGAGAAACTTTTGTTCACACTCGAGTGAACAAAACACTTACTCTCACTGGAGCAAAGATGAATTACTTCCGATTCACACTTCCGACATTCACTCTCCGCGGAATGCCCAAATTAGCTACGATCGGCGGCTGGGATAAGTCCTATGCATTTCACGTAAAACCTCTGCAGGCATGCGTGAATGGAGATTTTAGCAGGGTGATCCGATTAAATGGAGCGTTTTTCATCTTTTTCTGGGTAATGATCATGAGCGTCGAGCGTCTGCACAGGGGCCCTCTGCAGTGCGTCGGCAATCGCAGCCACTATATACTATAATTCTACCGTGATTCTACCAGTCGTTTTTGTGCTGAAATTTCAAAATTTCGAATTTTTCTGTAAAAAATTACATGTCATAGCTAGAAGGAAACCTTTGTCACCATCGGATTCCTCGCACCATTGTGCGTCGAATGATACGTAAAACGAGTGAGTAAAGACTGGGGAAAGGCAAGTTTTAACACAAAAGTTGATTTTGCCCCTCCCCCGAACCGAAAATCTCTGGCGACGCCTATGCTCGACTGACATCAAAATTGCGATAGAGATAGGTAAGGTATTATTAGTTTGCTTATGCTGAAAGCTGTTGATCAGATGACACATTTCAGGGGCGCGGGAACTACTTTCCGACTGGGGGGGCACACCATAATAGAGATTAACCTAGGGTACCCCCAAATCTAGTTTTCTCACCGGTTTTAGGCCACTTATTTTTCACCCCTCGGCTTTTTCAACAAAAAAAGAAAACATTTGCAAAAAAAAGTGTGGTATTCCGTCTCAAAGCTGTGGGGGCACCGCCCCCACGGCCCCAGAGTTGGGGGGGCAAGCTGCCCCCACTGCCCCCCCGGCTCCCGCGCCTATGCACATTTTTCTTACTAAATGCAAATTATCTATCGAATGATGTCTATATTATACGATTTAACTAATACCTGAACAGAAATTTCTGCGTCTGTGACCCGGAGAGTATATCGGTTAATACCTGCTCACAGCGCAATCAAGTACCAAATAAGTGATAGTGAACGCTGAGTCACCATCTCGAAGAAAAGTCCATTTGCAGTAGGGGAGTCGAGATCCCGTAAAGTAGATAGGCGGTAAGTTGACACCGTCCCTCAAAAGGTAGCTAGTACCGTGCCGCTTATCGGTATATGTTCGACAATCGACAGAGAGATGCACGTAGGGTGCCAAGTGGTGGGCACCACTAAACAGGTAAGAGTGAGTCGTGTATTGGTCGCACCTGAGCCTGAGCTCATTCTCGTCCAGGACAGCGTAGGCCTTACGTAGGTACGGCCCTCCAGGTATTAAGTGGTTGGTTGCCAACATCACAATAATCGATCTGCATTGATGAATACGTCTAATGACTGCTGAAAACCACTGCCGAAATGTGTGCACGAACCCTCTTCTCATTTCTATTGAGTCATTTTACAGGGGTGTCTCTGTTATTTAAAGTTATTACACCGAAAGCACATAGGCTAACCAACCACTCTTTTGCTGGAGGGCCGTACATGGGGTGGGAATATGAGAACGAAACTGCGAAGTCTTACATATGTCTTTTACTCTGCACCCCACTAACCCAAGTGTCACGCCATGACACAAGCATCATTTAGTTAGCTAGATGTGCTAAGTACGGCGGAGGCTGCAGGGCGGCACAGCTCGTCATACCAACCGCTGCCACCTCCCGCTTCCATGATCCAGCAGCCCAAACTTTCAGTGTCGGCCATTGCGAAATGGCTCAGGTGCCGACGATAACAAATGCATATACGAAACGGGTGGTCAAAACACATTTAGCAGTTTGCTTGATATCTGACGAAGCTATTTCTATTTCAGCGTCATTTCATCTGATTTAGGACGTCCTTTTTGGATTAGAAGCAGAGCACCATGGCCACGGTACGTTCATAATCCGTTTGGCTGCTTGTTTTGGTTATTCGGTATAGCATAAGTCGATCACTAAGCGGATATTTGGCATAGATCGTGAAAATGTCTGTTTGGCACTGTTACTTCAGTTATGTAGTTCTTAAGTGAAAATAACTAAATAATAACTAAGTAAATAGCAACTTAAGTGTGCTGACGATAAACATTTCTTTCTAAAACTTATTTTTCTATGATATATTTCGAGACTAGTGTGCAGTAAGTTCTTTCACGTTTATGCTGTATCTATTCATTTTGTTGACCAGAATACCATTCCGTGACACCCTCGGCTTAATCTGTGTTGTTGTTGTTTTTTCCTGTTACAGAGACGGCGGACGTCGCAGCGGCGTCGGGCGTCGACGAGCGTCATTGACCTCACATGTGACCTGGACTCTGACTCGGATGGAGAGGTGCTCATCGTGGGCGAGGCAGCGCCGCCGATCGTGGCGCCATTGCAGCGGCCAGAGGTCAGCAGAACGCCGCACACCAGTGACTGAGCTTGAATTAATGTGGAGCTTATTAGCTTATCCGCGGTGCGCATTAGCTTAACGTTGGAATTTTTGTTGCAATCTTTTCTATTACAAACAACATTAAACGGTTATGAATTTGAGAGGCATATATACATATGTCAAGACATTTCCGGTTAATCCGAATCCTGATAAGAGCTTAGCCTTAGCGCCGATACCTACCGATCTTTTTATCGATTCATTAATATCCCACACGGTTTCCGTTGATGAGTACTGACAGGGTTGTTTCGGGGCCTCCCTGGTGTCTCCAGTGACTGATCGGTTCCGTCGTTCCAGATGGACATTGTTGGCATGGTGATGGACCCGGTGCCGCGGGAGCGTCCCCCGACACCGCCGCCAGCGCTGGCGCCATCACCGCCGCCCGTGCCGGTGGCCGCCACCGACTACCCGCGCAACAACACCGAGACGTGGCTGGAAACGGAGCTCTCCGACCTCACCATCGACATCCGTGTCATGCAGAGCCACGTGCGGGAGGTGAACGCGCGCGCGCCGCGGCCCAACGTGGAGCGCCGCCTGCGCGAGCTGCGCGAGACGCACGGCATGCTGTCGGCGGTGGTGGCGCAGCTGGCGGCCGGCCGCCGGCTGCGGTTCGAGGGCCTGGCGCGGCCGCTCAGCGCCGAACTGGACGAGCTGGAGCGGCTGCTGGCGCAGCGGCGCGCCGCGGCGGCCGACGCCATCGGCACCGCTTGGCAGCAGCGCGACACGGCCGGCCCTGTGCGCACGCGGCGCTCCGTGTACCTGGACGACTCGCCGCCGCCGCCGCCGCCTGCGCGGCCGCCGCCCCGGCCGCTGCCGCCGACTCTGGCCGAGATGGTGCCCGACTCCCCCCCGCGCAGCGAGCCGGCGGCCAGCAGTCGGTCGTCCTCGCCGGCCGGAGGTGAGTCAGAGTCGCACGCTGCGTCGCTGCTGGTCCGCTCTCCGACAGAAAATCAATGCATATGGGTGAGGTATTGCTGACACCTGGGGAATTAACTGGAGGATAAATTTCAAAAGCGGAATTCAGATCTTTGAACGGGAAGGTCATATCTTTCAAAGCATGACAATTTGCTCAAAAGATCACACTTCTGCTTTACTAGTCAAAACGTACGGATTTGTTCTTGTGTTGCTGCACTGGCTGTGTAATGTTTGTGTCGAATTCTGCGTGACGCTGTGTATGTCTCGTGCGGCAGCGTCCGGCGGCCTGCAGTGCCCTGTCTGCTGGGAGTCGGTGGTCGCTCTGAAGGAGCAGCAGTGCGGATTTCTGGTGACCCGGTGCGGACACTGGTTCTGCGAGCCGTGCCTCAGGAGCGCCGTCCGCGTGCGCCGCGAGTGTCCCATCTGCCGCGCCAAGCTGGGCAGCCGGCCGCCGTACCGGCCGCTCTACCTATGAACGCCGGCCTCGCTGGGCTGACTACGACTAGTCAGTGGATGGCCACACCGTTCAGTGGACACAGTGTGCGCAGACGGCGGCGCGCCCGAGCGGGGCTCGCGACACCCTTCGCGCCATCCTGTCATATTCAAAGAAGTCATGGAAACGGATTCACACGCGCTGGGTGTTTTTCTATCGCCCGAGTACTGATCGCACATCAGTGGCGCCCGCTGCCGGGTGCGCCGTGGCCATGATTCGCAGTTCACTCATGCTTTACTAATACCGCTCCGAATTTTCCAGCAACCTGCGGATGCTGCGCAGCCGTGTATGATCATAGTGTATGAGCGGGGCTGCTTAGTGTATTGTCATATCCTAGAACATGATGAAGTGTCTTTCCGTTGTATTAGTTTCACAGTCATGAATTACACCATAGTCGTTGCACTGATTTTGGGGCGTACTTCAATTAGTGTCCTGTATAAAATTTGTATTAAATCGTTTGCTCCTCTAGATCTGTTTGGCGATGCCTCTTTATTGTGCTATTGCTAGATTTCTTCCGAGCGTTTGCATTTCTTTTGGTGAAGAACATGTAGTTTAATAGTTTTGCGTTATTAAATATGACAATATCGACTCATCTAATTATTTTGCCCTTTATCGCTGTACATTGCGTTAGTAGTGCCGCTTTATTCATTATGATTCTTTTGAAAAGGGTATGTCCTGTATATTGTTGCAAATTGTACGTTGAGCAGGTTTGTGGACATTCCTGTGAAAGCTAATACAATTCAAAGTTTACGTTTTACGACCGTGGATGACTTTGTACCATGTCAAAAAATTGCAAAATTTGATAGTGGAACATATTTATCCTTTTACGGATCATGGATCGTATCTTGTAACGCATGGTTGCTTAAATAATTTATTGGTTTACGCTGCCGTGTGGCTGACTTTTCACTCATAAGGTATATGTGTGTCATGAGTGACGTCCTCGTTGTAATCGCCCATTTTAGCGATCATTGCACGGGAAACTAAATTCGTTCCGATTTAGGGCGTCTGAAAGATCTCGATCGCGTCACAATCGGGTGTGCGATTAGGTAAAGCCAAACTTGGCTGTTCTTGAGGCGTTGCGGATTGAAAAAAAAGCATTTGCAAGTCAACATTTAGACCCCTGTAATAAGGTCTACATTTGGGTTGTAATGCGGATAAACTCTGATCTCACTGTTCAAGAATTGGCTCCGGAGTTGCTCTCTAACTTTGCCAACAACCTGCACCGGCCAAGGAGCTCCAGCGACGGCCAGTGTGCTGCCAGACTCAACTACACAATGAATGAATGATGCCAAAACGCGTGCATATTTGCTTTTCTCCCTTGCCCACTGCGAATCTGAAACAGAGCTATATTGTTTTGTGAGGCTAGTGCGCTTAGGCATCAATTTATGGAATCAATAAGAATAAGATGATGGCCTGAAGCCAACACACTGAGACGGCCATGGGCATCAGTTGGTGCAGTCCAACTCAGTGGCGGCGGAAGCGGGGGGGCAGCGGGGGCACGGCGCCCCCCCATCTTCCAGGGTGGGGGGGCAAACATATCTTTTTGCCCCCCCAAAATTGTTATCGACGAAGTACCACAATACTTCCATACTACCTACGTCAGGAACATCTGCCAGTTTGGCTGAGTACCTTTTTATTAAGTTGATATAGCGAGTAACTTGGATTGATAATAGCCGTTTTCACGACGGGCTATCCGTCGAGCTAGTCCGTGACGGACTATTTCCACCAAACGCCCTCCACACATAATGCTCAGAAATCAAGCAGAGCTATCTACGAGCTACCGGTAACCGAAGTCTGGAAGAGTAGGACGGAACGCGAGTGGCCCGGCAGGCGGCACGGACGTCACGAAAGTGCGTCTGAGCGTGCCACAGGCCTTTCCCCGCGACTCTGCCAGACGCCAGCCGGCATAGGCGCGTGAGCCGGGGGGCAGCATGGGGGCAGCCTGCCCCCACAACTCTGGGGCCGTGGGGGTCTCTGCCCCCGCAAAGTTTCAAAGGGCCAGGAACCGTCGGGGCAGCTTGTCCTCCCCATATTAGCGGCCGAGGGCCTCAAAGAAAAGCTGAATGGAAGACAATACCTATTTAAGTAAAAAAATCCCCCTCTGTACGTACCTGACTTGACAGCTCATGTGTGGAAGCTTTAAACGTTTATTCCAGGTTACCAAAAAGGTAGTTTCTTGACTCAGATGAGACTAATTATCTCACTTATTTGCAAATGTTTTATTTTTTATTTTTGTTGTAAAGGCCAAGAGGTGAAAAATAAGTGGCCTAAAACCGGTGAGAAAACTAGATTTGGGGGTACCCTAGGTTCCGGGAAGGATCAGGTGTGCCCCCCCATCCCAAAATACCTTCCGCCGCCACTGGTCCAACTACTCATTTGGCTTATATAAGGGCTAAGGCCGTAGGTATTTAGGGATTTCTGCTGAATTACCTCGAATGGATTGGCTCACACCGTTCCGACCTAGTTCCGACTTCCGACTTCCCATCTCCCGAACGAGGCGAGGCCACCGGGGACGCGCTGGCGCTTTTGCCAGCTAGATGGTAAGATATTCTGATTAGTTTTTCACTACAATACATATGAAAATTTAAATATATGACCAGATGAGTACTCAAACATGAAGAAAAAAATGTTTGGGCAGACCTAAGAAGTGTGACTGACTCTGATGATGAAGAAACGAAGATTACAAAATTGCTAATTAAAGATTTTTCGCAATATTTTTCAATTAGCAGCAGGTTATTGGGATCTTCTATTCGTTCATGGCGCAAAAAGGACATTTTTCTGTTCAGTAGTTCTGCTTGCTGTTGCGGACTTTTTTATTGGTAACAAAACTCATTGAAATCTCTAGCGGGTAGCGCTCCCACACCCTAATTTGAACAGACTATTGCTGTCTGCTCTCCATTGTCTGAGTAGATAAATAATGTTATGAATCATTTTGTATTTTGATCACAAAAATGAGATAGTGGGTGGGGTGCGCAGGGCTGAAAGTAAAGTTGTTGCAGAAAACTACGGGTTCGGGGTTACATTAGCCATTCAGCTTATCTGAGCTTCAGATCTCTTTTCAATTCTTCAAAATGATGTCCCTTGTGAATAAGTTTCTGGACTGGGTCAAAAGCTTATTTTGGAAAGAAGAAATGGAGCTTACTCTGGTTGGCCTTCAACACTCTGGTAAAACTACATTTGTCAATGTGATTGCTGTAAGTACTTACTTAATATCTATATTCTAGCTAGAGGCTAGCTTCTAGCACAGGCTTGATCCATATTATCATGTTACGTGCCTAGCACTTTGAGGTGCGTTGTGACTGAATATTTTTATTTGAACATATAGTTATGCATTATGTGAAAGTGAACCTATTGCTGTAGTTTGTTGTAAAATGTTTTTGTCTGCTTTGTGGGTCCATTAATAACAAAGAAAGTTACCTATTTCAGTAGGCGGAACTATGGTCATGAGTACCCAAATATAGGAACGTTCCCATTTTTGGGAACGGAGTTCCCAAATATGGGAACGGGCGTTCCCATTTATGAGAACGGAAGGCAATTTTTCGGCCGTTCGCCCACTAAACCTCAAAAGTGCATCACGTCTCAAAAAAGTGCACGCTGATTTAAGTATCTACTAAATCTCCATTAAGTTATCTTTAATCTGACCGTGGAACAAGGAAATTGACCGTGGAATGATATTTTTAATGATTTTTTAAAAATGACAGAATGGTGGAAATATGGGTTATATGACATTTAACATGCAATTGTAAGGAAAATGAAGCATTTTTTACATTTTAAGGTCAAGTATAATAATTTTCGCCTGGTTATGAAGTTTCATTCTAGCGACACCAGATGCTGACATATGCAAGCGAACACGCGGATAGTCCCGAGGTAATATTGTTGACTTTTGGTGTCGGGGCGATCGACCGCGTGGAACGTCAGTGATTTTACCAAACTACTGTTGTAAACTCAGTTTCAGTGGTTTAAAATCATTCAGCTGTATTTTATCAGCCCTGAAAGACATATTTTATTTGGATGCTAGCTGTTTAGCGTTGTTTTATAAGCAGCGTCATGAGCGTGGTTTTTGTCTTCGGCGTTTCTAAGCATGATCGTTTGGGGGGAATTTCTCTGATATAGGTCGCTCTGTGTGGCTTATTTATAATTTTTATGCTGATTTCGATCATTCCTCGTGCCCATCCTACCAGGCCTTTTGCCACTTACACTCATTAAGAAAGGAAAAAACTAGATTTTCATTGGGACTAGGTGTTTTGAGGGTGTAACATATTCAGCGTTCCCATTTTTGGATACTTCTTGTGCTCGTCAACTCTCGGTGATTAGCAGACAGGTGCTTGACATGTCTCCACCCTCGGCGCGGACGGTCGATATAGGTATGGAAGACCTTGTTGAACATCGCTGAGCGTTGTGGATTACGTAATCCTGCAGAGGGGGGCGTGCCCGCTGCGAGATCGACGGGAATAAAAGCGCAGAAGACCGGGCGAAACATGCAACGGTCTTGCCGGAAAGGTCATCTGATGATTGTTGCGTTAACAATAATTTGCGGCGTTGGACGTGATGCTTGTTAATGAAAAGAGCCCCTGAAAGGCGTCGGTGAAATCGTTCCCAATTTTGGGTACGCCGTTCCCATAATAAGGAACGCTTGCAGCGCCAGTGTACGAGAGCGTTCCCAAATTTGGGCTCGCGGCCCGGGTGATGGACTGCTTTAGAAATAGGGGAACGATTTGAAACTACGATGGGCCTTACAATATCAAACTCTTTCCCAACAATATTGAGACAACTATCAGGCAGTTCACGATCGTTTTATATTTTTTGGACGTCATTTAACGGTTCTTTTTCTTGTTTTAAATAATGCCTACATGGCGTTCCCATATTTGGGTTTATCGTTCCCAAACATGGGAACGAAAATGCGTTCCCGAAAATGGGTACGCTTGACCATAGTTCCGCCTACTGATTTGATGTGCTGGAACATGGACAAAGTTGGTGTGTTGACCTGCGATTCATTGGGGGGCCAAAACAGGCCAGTCTCTTGTTCAGTTGATATCTCCTTAAGTAGGTTAACAGCTATCACCACCAAACTTTCAGGACCCTGCCGGGCATTAATTTTTACCTTGTGTTCCAAAATTTTTCTAGAGCCCATGATAGGTTGGCCACAAATCAGGGCATATTTTAAGGCATTTACTGCGTCCCATTCTGGGATGCAGCCCCCTCGCCTTGGGACGTAGCCCCTGCTGATTTGACCCAGACTGCGTCCCTGCCCTGTGCCCTGCTGTGTGCCCTGACCTGTAAGTTGTAAACTTCCCTCTAAAATGTCCTGTGCCATGCCCTGTAACCTGCCGTGCCCTACTTTCTGCCCTCCTCAGTGCCCTTATCTGTTCCTTGTCCTGTGTCCTTAGTCGTAGCACGTGCCCTCTGCTCCAATTTGGGATGCAGTAAAAATTTGTTAAAAATTTTCTAGACCCTGCCACAAATGACATCAGAATGAGACCGTGTTCTGTCATTTTTGATAATAAGTTTTTGCTGGAAAAGCTGTCATAAGTACAGTTTTGAAGATAGAGAAAAATGTCTACAATCAAAAAGTTGTGGAATGAACAGGGCTACAAAACTGCTTTAACTGCTATCTAGGATTTTTAAATTTTTTGGATTTTGACCCCGAAAACTATTAATTTTTAGATATAATAAGCCAAAAATACCAATTTTTTCGATTTTTTTCTTCTAAAAAATACCAGAATATGTTATAGATCTATTCATCCGCTTTTGATATAC